GGGGGGGGGGGGGTTTGGCCGGTGGAAAAAAACAAACAACCCTTCTACAAAATTGTCTTAATCGAAAGGTTAAAAAAAAAACATCACAAAGAATTGAGTGAATATGTGGCCAAATGTGGTCAGAATGTGATCAGAACGATTGAAACGGAGAAACATGGGATTCAACTTTGGACATCAAGGAATTCCTCAGCTGTTTTGGGTGGAGATATAAAAATATTGAAGTAAAAGGGCGGGAAATGACGAGTGATGGCAAAACGTCTTTTCACGCGTAGAGTTTATCGGATTTTCCCGATGCATCGATTTAGCGTTCTGTTTGCTCTGGGTTCCACGAAATCATGTTGGTTCCATTGGAAATTGTGGTACAAAGTTGGGAAATGGCATAAGTTTTGACTGAAGTTGATAGATAAAACTATTCTATTTATGTTGGATACATAGGATATTATGATTCGTTGGTGAAAACAATAAGGGGGCGTCCATAGAGCTGAATCCCCCACCCCCATACGATTTCATGAGATTGGTCAACTGGTGCCACATTCCTATTGTTTGGGCGCGTCCAAATATGTTAATTATCTCCCCTTTAGAGAAATTAAGACCGCGGCAAGCAAAAGCTTCTTCCACAGAAAAGCCTGGAGTTACGAGCGCTTTCCCGCAGTTTGCATGGAAAAAAAAAATTAAAAAGGAGGATTTTGGCGCCCTCCAAAGATGGTGCCCGGGGCTGACTCCCGCTTCACCCCCCATACGCACGGCCCTAATGTGGGGGTGGGCGGGTGGAGGCAGGTGTGATGTGCGTTACTTTCATGATATGTTTACTATCTTGCGTTGTCCTCATTCTTAACATGTCATTGTTGCCCTTACACAAGGTGGGGACAGGAAGAAGTTGCATCCAATATGAGTCGGGGGGAGAAGGGGTATAACATGTTCCGGGGTAACAAAATTAATGTGGGAAATTTTAAAAAATACAATGACTCAATTTTTTAAAAACATATATTTACTTTTTTAAGGGTGTTTGTGTGTGTGTGGGGGGGGGGGCCTATTTTTGTCAGGAGGAAAAGAGCATTTATTAATTTCAGGTTTTAGCGGGCAATAGCAAAACTCTCTAGTTAGGAGCGATTCGTGTTTTGGCTGCACACCCTTTTTTTAAAAACATATATTTACTTTTTTAAGGGTGTTTGTGTGTGTGTGGGGGGGGGGGCATATTTTTGTTAGGAGGAAAAGAGCATTTATTAATTTCAGGTTTTAGCGGGCAATAGCAAAACTCTCTAGTTAGGAGCGAATCGTGTTTTGGCTGCACACCCCACCACACAATCACTGCACACCCTGCCACACAATCACTGCACACGCCACCACACAATCACTGAACACCTTGCCACACAATCAAAGCACACCCCACCACGCAATTAATGCACACCCCACCACACAATGACTGAACACCCGGCCACACAAGCTATCAACCAATATTACGTCTTAACACCAGAAAAAAAAACAATTGTATTTATACCCCTACTAAAATTCATTTTAAAAAAAAATAATCACGGGATATTATAAATTAATTTTTTTTTTCAAAAGTGTGCAATATATATAGTTTGTTTGCATTATTATTATTATAGCATAGTCAGCCTTAAGTCGACTATAAACAAGCAATAATTTGTAGCAAATTTTTGTATAACTAATGTAGTTGATGAACACTGCCAACAATACCACGACTGGGATGACACACAGCACACATTTTACCAAGTCCAAAGTCTAGAGGGCGGGGGGGGGGGGCTTTAAGCTCCCTCAGCCCACACCCTAAAAAAAAGGTATACGTCCCTTTCTGAGAGTAATTAAGAAAGTTGTTGTTTTGTTGTGGTTTTTTTTTTTTGCTTGATGCGGTAACGTCTGCCACACTCCCGCAGTTCTTTGCTATCAAACAGCAGCCGGAAGAAAACCACAAAAAACCCGATCATTAAAGCTAACATAGGTTGGGGTCCAAAATTAATCTATCTTTCACCCCTCTTCCCTCTTCATTTCCATATTTTGGGGCCCGCGCGCGCGGGAAGAAATGATGAATGCATGAAATATTTGAGTCGTAGAATCTAACTAGCCGGAGACGTTTTATTATTTCCCGTGTAATCAACGTGACCACGACTTCAATAATCCTGGCTGGCACAAGCTTTGCACACTGTGTGCGCGCGTGTGTGTGTGTGTCTTCCTNCCCACCCCTTCCGCGCCTTCATTTCCAATGCAGTAAACGGGGGTGACGAGGAATCCAATTTGATGCTGCGTTGTAAATTACAAGGAAATAATTATATTCTAGTGAATGGAATAAATTTGGTCGACGGTGGTATGGTATTTTGTATGAGGCAGAAGCCAGACCAAGTCAGTAAATTAGAGAGCTGGGTTTGGTCGCGGACTATTTGGGTGGTTGGGGGAGGGGGACGACGACTATTGCATGGGTTATTGGCTCGACAAGGTTCTTTGGTACTCAGTACTTTGTCATTTTCACCCAGTCTCACTAGTCGAACCCCACCCCCCACCCCCCGCCCAAACGATCCACACTCCTCTCTCTTTCCAAGGGACATAATGAGAATAGTTTTTTTATAGTTTTTTTAAAATTTTTATTGGGGGAAACAAGAAAATGGGTAACTCACTAAACCTATTTCAGATTGATGTATGACGGTTATATCCGTAAAACATGCAAGGTTGGGGGGGGGTTAACCACCCACCTTCAGTTACAAGAGTGAGAACTCATCCAGTGCTTCGTGCAATGTCTAATCTAAATAACTGATACAAGTAGCCACGTGACTTCACCTCTTTGGTGATTGGTTCGAAGTTAGACATCAACAAATCAGACCCCCCCACCCCTCCCCCACCCCCCACACACACAAAATTTTTTTACAAAATAAATAAAAAATATCCACAAAATTCATAATGCGATGCAGTCAAAATTGAGGTCAAGATTGAGGTCAAGATTGAGGTCCAGGTCCAGATTTCAGGAGTTCGGCAATGTAGACACCGGTAATGAAACGCATTCAACCATCTACGTTTGGGTAACAGTGTGGCTGCTTAAAAAAAAAAATTAACCGGAAAATGTTTGTGATTTTGTGATGATAAACTTTAATTTGTACAATCTTTAATATATATATATATATATATATATATATATATATACACATATAGATATATAGATATATATGTGTGTGTGTGTGTGTGTATAAGCAACGTGGGTTTTTGTGATATTTAAAAAAAAATTGTTAGTGGTTGTGATATAATGTAATATTTTACCTTTCGCAACGGCTAAGTACGTTACCCAACTTACTTTCTAGGGGCGGGTCGCCACAAGTGTACATCAATTTTACTCGCTTGTATTCCGCCTTGTACCACTGAAACATTGGCGTGGTTTTTGGTGGAGGTGCTGTTATCCAT